TTGTTGTTCAGCTCTGCCCTGGACGGACTAGGTAGGTGCTGTGTGGTGTGAGGTCTCAGCAGACTGGTCCGTCACCTCCCAAGTTAATCTGACCTCTTCATGGTCCCCAAGGTCTTTAGTTAGGGGTCATGTATTCTGAAGGACAGGCCCTGAGGTTACCGCCCCTCCCATACTCGGTGCTGTGCTGGATTGCTTTTGCTTTTGCTAGTTTTAGCCCCTGTTTGAAGCCGATTTCTAAAACTCTTCATCGAGGGACCATCTGGAGTGGAAGGTGGGGGACACAGGTTATTGGGCGCTATCTAGTCCAGATTCTAGTTAACCCCCCCGAGGGGATCTAGGAACCAGAGCTCTGCGAAGGTGCCTTATTTAGGAAGAAGAGGCAAGTTTAATGGAGCCCCCTGGTAAGGATTCTTGTAATTATCCCTGTATCTTCCTTTACTCCTGTTCTGGCTTTCAGAGCTTCAACTTGGCCTTGTTCTTCTTTGTGACCCCCTCTCACCTCACCCCCACCCCGCTCGACCTCTGGCCTTGAATGTAGTTGGTACTAGAGTTCTGTTGGTAGAATACTAAGTGGATGAGTGATCTGCATTGCACAATGAATTCGAGGGAAAACAAAAAACAGGTATTTAATTTTGTAAAGCTATTAAAGAGGGAACATGTAAGAGTGAAAGGAGTGCTGCTATCATGCTGGAAAGTCTGAATTTGGCACTGTATGATGGCCTGGCCTTGGGCAAATCCTCTAACCTCCAGGCTGATGCCCTCCTCTGTAAATGGAGTGAAGGTCAGAAATGGTAATAGGTGTGAATGTGTTTTTAAAACTAGAAAGTGGATTCAAATCAGGAGTGAAGAATAGTCATGGTTGGGACCAGGCCACAGAACCAGCACGACAAGGTTGCTGTGTGGTCAGGCCCAAGGCCTTAGGCTCTGCAGGGACCAGGAAGGAGTTTGAGTGGGATGGCAGCTCAGGCCTGCTCGAGGCCTGCTTCCCTTGTATTCTGTCCGGTTCCTGCGCCAACCAGGGCCCTCCATTCTGTGAGCCACTGTCCTAGTCCTGCTGGGCCCAAAAGACTGTGGCCACATTTTGTGGCTTCACAGGTGCTCCATGGACAGTCCCCAGGGAAGGCTTTAAGGTGAGGGCCCTGTGCTTTGGGGTAGGGAGGAGGTGAGGAGAGGACGCTCCAGGGATGGGTGAGCAGCTGGCCTGGGAGTTGACCAAGACCAGTCATGCATGCCTGTACCCACTCAGCAAATATCTGAGTGCCTCCCAGGATGAGACTCTAGAACCTAGTCCACATCATCAGTCTACTGAGAATCCGAATGAGAGTGATGCGAGCTGCCTAGAGTTGGGACGTGCAGGCCTGTCCAGTGCCTGGCCTCCTTGTAGTCTCTGGGCTGACCTGTTACTGTCCCCTAACCATTCCCACCGGATATCTGCCTTAACCCCGACTGTCTCCGTATGTGGAGGAGCACGCACCATGCAGAGCCTGGTTGGGCCCAGGGAATGGAGAGGGCAGTGGACCAGAGTAAGTGGCCTGTACGTGCATCTCCCCAGCAGCAACAGCCCTCCCGCCTTCGTGGGCTCTTCAAGTCACTGTGCTATTGAGGGCCACCTTAGCAGTCTCGTAGGAGGCATGACCCCTCACTTTTCAGGTGAGAAAAACAATTGAAGCCATCAAGGTATCAACCCTGAGCCACATGGCGAGTCAGTGGGGAGCCAGGACTTGAAGTCAGAGCTTTTCAGATTGGGGGAAACTGGAATATTGGGAAAAATTTAAAAACATGTACTCTTGGTCTGACTTCAAAATTAATTCATGTAAAAATGTCAGTTTTATAAATGGGGAGGACTTACAAAGTGTAAGTCACTACCTCTAAACCCCCACAGGTATGAGATAATCCCTGTTCACAGTTTGTTATGTTCTCCACAGACATTCACTGTTATTTCACTCATATTGCAATCTAATGAACAAACTGAACTAACAAGCAAAATAGGCAGACTCACAGATAGAGAGGGGTGTGTGTGTGGAGGGATTGAAGAGAAAGAATTCATGAAAAAATAAAGACAAGACATTTACTAATATTTATATTCATTCTTGTTGTAGCAAGTGTAATATTATACACATATTTTACAATTTCCTTTTATTTGTTTATCCTCACTGGAGGATATGTTTATTGTTTTGAGAGAGAGAGAGAAATATCAGTGTGAGAGAGAAGCTTTGATCAGTTGCCTCCCGTACATGTCCTGACCAGGGATCACACCCACAACCTAGGTATGTGCCCTGACCAGGAATTGAACTTTCAACCTTTTGGTTTACGGGATAGTGCTCCAGCCAACTAAGCCACCCAGCCAGGGCTTCAATTTGTATAATATTTTGAAGTAAAGACAAATATATTTTAAAAAAATAAAATAAATTTAAAAAGTGAATCCCCATTCATCATCAAGCTCCAACAACCATCAATTTTCCTGTTCTTATGTAATCTTTTCTCTCCACTTTCACTTTTTCCCCTGGATTAAGGCAAATCTCAAACATCTTATCATTTCTTCATTAATACTTAAGTATGTTTCCAGAGATGAGAATTTTTCAGAAACATTACACAATACTAAACAAAATTATCATACTAAACAAAATTGAACAATTCTTAATATCAACTAATACCCAGGTTAAGTCTAATTTTTGTCAGTCATCTCACAAATGCCTTTTTACGGTGGTTTGTTTGATTTGGTTCCAGTGAGCCCCTCACACTGCTGCTGGGTGGCATGTCTCAAGTGTCAGTCTCTATACCTCCACACCCCTCCCATGCGATTTGTTTTCTGGAGAACTTGGGCTATTTGCCCTGTAAAAAGTTCCGCATTCTGGATTTGCTGATTGCCTCCTCCTGGATTTGTTTAACACATGCATCGATGCCCCACATTTTCTGTAAATGGGTAATTCATTTAAAGATTCGATTAAACTCTGTTTCCTTTTTGAAGACAAGAATGCGTCATTGTTGGAGCTGTGTACTTCTTATTGCATCATTTAAGAAGACTGTCATTTAAGATTGGTTCATGAACTTGACTTTATGGTTATCTTTCTGCATATGTACACACAAAATCCTTCATGTTATTTATTTTTTTAAAATATTTTTTTTTTATTTCAGAAAGGAAGGGAAAGGAATAGAGAGATAGAAACATCAATGATGAGAGAGAATTATATATTGGCTGCCTCCTGCATGCCCCCCTACTGGGGGTTGAGCCCACAAACCGGGCATGTGCCCTTAACTGGAATTGAACCTGGGACCCTTCAGTCCGCAGGCCAAGGCTCTATCCACTGAGCCAAACCAGCTACGGCAAAAAAATCTCTCATTTTAAAAGTTTGTGTTTGTTTGTTTTTTAAAAGAAACACATGTATTGGGTGTTGAGCTAGAATGACAAAGAAAGGCCATGATGTGGCCCCCACAAGCAGGCTTCATTCTGTGTGAGGAGGGGGAAACGCCGATCGTGAGGAAGGTCTTGGAGCCACGGCCAGCAGAGCACTGGGCTGCTGGCAGCCAGGAGGTGCCCTTCTGGGACCTCACGTAAAATGATGAAACTGAGTGAAAAGTGGCGGTGAGCCGGTTCCTCTCCGAGCTCAAGTCACTGAGCTGCTGTCGGGGGGAGGGAGACTCGAGAGTCCAGAGTCCTGGGTGGCGGTGTGCAGAGGCTGCTGGGTCTGCGGACTGTGGCTTCTCGGTCCTTGCCTTCTCACACTTCGGGAGCTGAAATCGGGTGGCCTTCTGGTGCTCCAGTGGTGAGTCTCGGATTGGGGCGGGCTGTCTGCTTGCAGAGAGTGGGTAAGAGGACCCTTCTCAGCACAGTTTCGGGGCTGGAAAGGGTGCCTCCATTTACAGATGAGAAAACTGTGGCCCAGAGAGGAGAAGGGAGGTTCCCCAAACCACCCATCCCCTGGAACCAGCATCCAACCTCCGGTTCTCCTACTGTGCTGGCCAGCTCGCCTTTCCTCCTTGGAATTTCTGAGGTGGTGAGGGTGGCCGATGAGGTTCTTCACCACCTGCACCCAGAATGTCTGAGGATCCTTTGGTGTTGGCCTTACCATCCTTCTTGTTCAATTCCTGGCGGGGGCTTTGATTTGGAAGAGGTGATGAACGTGGTCGCTTTCTCCTAGAATTTGGTGGCCAGCGTGGTCTGTGGTGGCACAGTGGTTTGAGTACAAACTGGGTGTCATGAGTCCCAGTCTCAGCTCTACACTAATCAGTTTGCTGAGAATTCTCAAGCCACAATTTCCTAAAAAGATTGGACCAGGTTTGCCCAAAGCATGGTAGGAGTGTGCCAAATGGTTTTCGGTGGTATGAGGATAAAAGATTTCCCTTCTTTATACTTATATTTATTTATCCCTATGGTAAGCAATACTGGTTTTCTATTTTCCGCAGTGTCATACCTCCTCTTTAAAGGTACTGAGTTGGTAGATTTAGATAAAATAAGTAGGTGATATTCTAACCTGGCAGAGGGCAGACTGCAGAGATGGCAGTGTGGAAGGCATTGGACCAGATGACCTTCCTGGTCCTTCCTCGCTTCCTCACCTCTCAGAGTTACAGGGTTTTCTTCATATTCTGGCATATGCCAGTCACCATCCTCCTGGCCCGAGCAGACTCCCCTGCCAATATAGAGGCCCTCCAGAGTTAGGGGACAGCCTGCGACTGTTCATTCTGACTGAGCATGTCTTTATCAGCCGGGCGCTATCTTGGGAGAATGTAGGGACAGGGGGGTCCAGTTCCTGTGGAGTCATCGGAAGCTGCTCTGTATTGTGCGGTTTGTGTGGTAAATTCTGGGCCGTGTTCATTGAATGTTCCTGAGTCCTTGCTGTCTGGGTAGTGCCCCAAAACTGTCATCCTCTGCAGCCTCTGGGAAGTCACCTCCGGGGTTCAGTCCTAATCTGAACATCTGGAACTGAGAGAAGATGGGGGGTTGGCATGGAGGTGAGGGGGTGAGCTGCAGAAATGGCAATCCAGGGCTCTCTGCCTTTCAGGACTTTCCTAGGAGCGTCTTCACTCAGGAGTTTGCTGACAGCCAAGCCAAGGATGGCAAGCAAGGGGCCCTCAGCCTCTGCGTCCCCTGAGAACTCCAGTGCGGGGGGACCCAGCGGCAGCAGCAATGGTGCTGGCGAAAGCGGAGGGCAGGACAGCACCTTCGAGTGCAACATCTGCCTGGACACAGCCAAGGATGCCGTCATCAGCCTATGCGGCCACCTCTTCTGGTCAGTGCCCCCTCCCAGAGCGCACACTGCTGGTTTGGGAAAGCTCATAGCCCTGGACAGAGCTGGGGAAGGTTCCCACACACTTCGGGTCCAGGCAACCTGGGTTCTCATCCCAGCTTGGGGGCCAATCCAGTCCCCACCCTGGGCTCCGTATCCCCATCTCTAAAGTAACAGCTCCCCATTTAGTGAGCACTTACTGCTTGCTACTTGCTTGTTAGCCAAGAGACAGGGTAGTGCAATGGTGTTGAGCAAGGACTGTGGAGCCAGGCTGCCTGGCTATGAATCCCGACTCTTCCACTTTCCTACGGGATGACCTTGGGCAAGGTACTTACACGCTGCCTCATTTTATAGGGTTGTGAGCGTTAGGTGATGTGAAATATGTCAAAGGCTTAGAAGAGCACATAGCACAGAGTAAATATTGTGTGTGAGCTGGGATCCTAATGATTGTTACTGTATTTTATGTAGCTTATCAAAATGAAGTGGCAGAGTCAGTGTCCGTTCCAGCCTCGATGGTTACAGAAGCCCCTCTTGGCTCTGAGAATCTGGGTAAATGTTTAGATCTTAAAAATTAAGCCAGGGTATCATTGGAAGGAGCACAGACTCTAAAATGAAACAGGTGCTTCTCATAGGAGTGGTTTGTCTCTGGACAGATCTGCTGCTGTCTCTGTGCCTCAGTTTCCTTATCTGTAAAATGGAGATAATTGCACTTCCTCAGAGGTTAGTGTGACCATCTAGTGATATGAACAAATGCAAAGCTATTCAGCCACAGGCTGGCACACAGTAGTTGCTTTATAAATGGGAGTAATCATCATCATTGTTATACTCTTTCATTTTCCCCTGAGGAGAAGTTACCTCCACCTCCCCCACAGCCTTTGTGGGAAGTTGCCAGTGGAGATCGGCCATGATTTAGGGCGTCTCAGGCCCAGTTTGGAGTAACAATGCAAGATGAATGTTGAAGACAGATGCCAGGTGTCCGTTATGTCCAGGGAGATTGTGTATCTCGAATGTGAGGCTAAACTGTGGTTCAGGAATTGGGAAAGGAATTATCCTCTGAGTCTAAATTTTACTCAGGTAAAGAAACGTGGTATTTGAGAAGCAGAAATCATATCCATATTTTCCACTATCCTGACACCTAGTAGGTGTGCAATTGACATTTGTTACTTGAATGAATGAGTCAAGAGAAAGAAAAGTTAAAAATGTGGAATTAGAGGGACTTTTCCTTCAATTCTATAAATGTCAGTTTTTTGGGGGGTTTTGTGCACCCAGGGCTGGGTGATAGAGGGATAGTAAACTGGAAGTCAGGAACGTATTTTTTAGCCCTGGTGCTATAGGCAAGTCATTTAATATTTCTGAGCCTGGTTTCCTCATTTGGAAATGAGAGATTGGGCAACAACCTATGGAGTGTAGCTCACTAAGCTGAAGGTAGCCCCACCCTTCTCGTTACTTAAAGATGTTTTTAACGGTAGACCTGAACTTGAAGCTACTTACTGCCGGCCGAGCTCTCAAGGCTGAGGACAGCCTGAAAGTGTTGTTAAACTGGATCTAGATCCACACGTTCCTTTTGAGTCTGAGGAAGCTATGAATCCACTGAAATTGAGTCCAAAATATTACGTGTGTACATGTGTGAATGAGGGCATGAGAATGTTGCTATGAATTTTTCTACACAGAGGGACCTAGCTTTTTTTTAATTCTCACCCAAAGATATATATTTTAATTAATTTTAGAGAGAGGGGAATGGAAAGAGAGAGAGCTAGAGAAACATCACTGTGAGAGAGAAGCGGATCGGTTGCCTCCTGTATGCCCTGACCAGGTTTTGAACTTGCAACCTGGGTGTGTGCCCTGACCAGGAATCCAACCCGCAGTCATTTGGTATATGGGATGATGCTCCAACCCACTGAGCCACACTGCTCAGGCCTGGGTTCCTGAGCTTTTATTGGATTCTTTTAGAGGCCGAAACCCCTCCGAGTTTTACTTGTAGAGAAGTTGGGTCTGGGATGGTCTGACTGTGGGCGTCTTCACAAGTAGTGGGATCCCAGGGGTGGAGGCGGGTGTCTTGACTCCGTGGCTTCATTTTTCCGTGTTTGTAACCCAGGCCCTTCTAATTTCTGGCTCCAGCGATTCCCCTGCTCAATGGGCTGGACGTGCTCCACACTTCTCCCCAGTTTTCCCATGTTTCTGCTCCTGCCCCGATGTTTCCGCTAATGAGAACATTTTCTTTTCCTTCCCCTCTCTCTTTTCTCCTTGATGGCTGGTTGCCCTGGGGACTCTGACAGTTGGCCGTGTTTACATCAGGTAAGGTGCATTTCATTTTACTTTGTCTTTCATCACCTGTGGTTGCACAAGACACTCCTGGTCTCAGGAGACTGCTGTCAGAAACTGCAATCTCCCCTGCTTGTGGGCTCATCGGCTTGCTTTCCCTCAACCCCCATTACCCACCTGCCCGCTGACAGGCACTTGAGGAAACGGATCAGTGTGGTACCCGGGATGGTCCTGACTGCTGCCGGTGGCTTTTGTGGCCTTCGCAGGCCACTGCCTCTCGGGGCCTCAGTTCCTCAACTGAAAACGGGGTTGGATTTGATAATATGTTAATTTTTTATTTTTGAGATTGTGCCTCTAGAAAGTGTATCCTTATCATATCAACCTTCCCCCTACTCTTAAAGGTCTTGAAAATGTTAGGAAGGGGAAAACATTTTGGTCTCAACAGAGAGCTACTGTGACAGGAAGAACGTCTATTTTCCCAGCTTTAGGTTATTATGAAAACCAGGTAGTAAGTATTCACCAAGACCCAGGCCTGGCATTCACAACGGCCTGTGAGTAAGCACTGCAAGCTGGCTGCCTCGACGGTGGTTGTCAGTGGAGCCCCACACTAGTGGGGGCTTAGGAACGTGGGGGGAGAACAGAAGTTCCAGAAGTTAGAGGCTCAGCATCTGATGGGAGAAGGCAGGGCAAACTTACCTGCCTAGTTCAGGTTGTGCATTCTGATCCCAGTGGAACCTGGTGAAACGTGTCTGCTATAAATTTATAAAGAGCACAGTATACATAAGTTTTGGAGCTTTTGACAGTAAGATAAAGGAAATAAGATATAAAACCATTAAACTCTGCCTTTTCCTTGGCTCTGAAGTCCTAGATTCACGTTTATAGAACACATGTTTCTCTCCTGCTTGCAGTGGTTGGAGACCAGACCTAACAGACAGGTGTGTCCAGTTTGCAAAGCTGGGATCAGCCGAGACAAGGTCATCCCCCTCTACGGCCGTGGCAGCACTGGGCAGCAGGACCCCAGGTGAGGCCTCGGAGCACCTCTCACACCCACTCTTCCCCTTTGGACATGAATTCACTTCCATTCAGCACCGACTCACCCTGCGCTTTACTTAGTGCTCGCAGACCCTCAGTTCTGAGGCAGTTGGAGTCCAGATGGAAGTTAGCCAGGAGGGGAAGGGAGCCAGGTTGCCACTTGCTGAGCTATAGTACGGGTGTCCACTGAGCGTCCGCCAGGGGCAGGCGATGTACTCGGTGCACAAGACATCACAGTGCTGTGAAGGAGCAGCCTGGGAAGCAAGGTCCCAGCAGGAGTCTGCAAGGAGGTGGCCTGCTGTAGCAGTGACGTTTAAAATATGGGGGCAGGAAGGGACGGGGGTCTAGGAGGCTTGTGGAGTTGAAATTTCTAGAAATGAAGGTGTGGGTGGGTCTGGCATTCTCCAGACATAAGTACTGAGAGCCCTTTGTGATGTGGCGCATACACACACACACACACACACACACAACACACACACACACACACACACACCCTAAACTCCCCAGCACACCCAGCGGCCAGACACATTGGAGTTCTCTTAAAGGGTCTACCCTTTCACGTTCATGAGCCTTTGTATTTGTTGTCCCTTTGCCTCTTCTGCCTGCCCCAGTTCCACCCCTCCTCCTCCTCAAACTTCTGCCCATCTGGAATGAGCAGCCCTAAAGCTACTTCCTCCTTGATATGGCACTTGTTCCCCACATTAGCTGCTCTCACCCATGCTCCCACCCCACTTGGTTCATACCTCTAAAAAGAAGTCCCTCCCACACTGTATTGTGATTGGTGGTAGCCCCCTTTAAACCATGAACACCTCAAGAGTAGGGTCTGTCTTCAGCCTTAGTATTGGTAACAACCTACCTTGTGCTTGATGGGTAGCAAGTCCTCAGTCCGGTATTTGTGGGACGCGTGATGGAAGAGGCTGGGGCCCAGAGGCAAGATAGAGTAGAGGACATGCCCAAGAGGAGTGGGTGGTGAAGCTGGAGTTAATGGGCGGCTCAGAGAGACCGTGAGTCTCAGCCCTCTCTGCTGACAGGCCACTCTCTGTTTCAGTTTGGATTTGGGATTTTTTAATTTTATTTCATGACCCCTATATCACACTGGTCCAGGGATAGGTGTCTGGCTGGCCTTCTGGGTCATGCTGTCTGTGAGAGGAGCAGGCTCAGTGCAGTCTGATGAGCATCTTATAAACAAGCTGATTTCCTCCTTGGCTCTCCATAGGTAGAGAGCAGTTGCAGGTAGAACAAAGAGCTATTTAGTGTTTGGTTTATTTTGGCATGGGTACGCGTGCTGGGCAGGAAGGGGGTGGGGCCCAGGTGAAGAACTCCTGCTTCACTTGGGAGCAGCTCAAAGCAGTATGTAATAAACCTATCTACACCGTTTCTGTTTCAGAGAGAAGACCCCGCCCCGTCCTCAAGGCCAGAGGCCAGAGCCGGAGAACAGAGGGGTGAGGAAAATGCTAGGTGAAGCTTCTAGAAATAAGTGCATGGCTTCAGAAGTTTCTCTGTTGGCCCTATACTTTTTCCTCCTTGATTAAAAGTAAAGGAAATTTTGTAGAATACAAAAGGATAAGGGAGAAAAAAGTCACTTATAATCCCACCATCCAGAGATAACCACTGGAAACATTTTGGTCTGTTTTCTTTTTTATTTTTCTATAGTTATATATATATATATACACACACACACACAACACACACACACACACACACACACACACATACACACATACACACATACATACACACATACATTTTATAGATGTTTTTATGTCTATGTGTTTTATTTATAGATTTGTGTGTATATACATACATATATATATATGTATGTAAATATATGTATATATTTACTATTTGGCTCCTGTTTTATAACCCTCTTTTAAAATTTCATTCATTTTATACTAAGTGCCTTCTGTGTGCTGGGCATCATTCTAGGCATTGGTGATGTATCAGTGAACATAGCAAAGATCTTGCCCTTACGGAATTCACAGTATCAGAGAGGGGTAGATTTTCATTGATTTATCTTGAGATTTTACATGTCCGTAATATTTTATGTAGCTGTTTAATGCTCCAATGTATGGACTTCACATAATTCATTTTTGGACATTTAGCTGTTTCCTTTTTTTTTTCCCTAACCTAAAAATATTCTGATGAACTTATAGATAGATTTTTGAGTAGGTTCATGATTATTTTACTGGGATAAATTCTTAGAAGTAGAATTACTGGCTCAAAAATTTTGTGCACTTAAATCAAGCATTAGCAAAATATTTACTCATACTTCCAGAATCGCACAAGTATA